CAAGTGCGTTCTAGATTCACATCGTTCATTTCTCTATTATTACCATATGTATTTTTCAATAATAATATAAATTGGCCTGCTACAACCATAAGTTTGTAATGGTCTTTATATAGTGAAGGACCAGGTTAATATGTCTAGGAATGCTATGTATTTGGAAGAGTGACCTTAAAATCACATTGTCGTTGTACAAAAACCCAATAATAATTAATCGAAAAAAGAAAAAATCCTTCCTCTTCTCACTATTTGTGACTGGTAAGTAGAAAAATAGAGGAATCAGTGAATGAAGACACCATTTTAGGCTTGCTACTAGCATTGATGATAAGTCATTGCATCTTTCAAAGGGTTTGCAGCATTGAAATTGACTTTTTGCGCCCTCTTTTTGTTTTTCAGGACCAAGGATGAGAGAATGTCTAGTATAGGGTACACTGTCTGCTTTTGAGGAGAAATAGCTCATGAGCAGGGTATTCGCGGTTTTACAGGTAATGTTTTTCTAAAACTTCCAAGGAAATTTGTATGCAAAGATGAAACATAAATATAATCTTGTGATGCGCAGTGGTCTTGTCCCGCCACTGGCTGCTCAGTCATGTTGCTCCTATTATATATATATTGCATATGAAGTACGATAACGGTAATTGTATCTGTTTTCAGTTGCTGACAATATTGCATAGTAGACTAGAAAATTGATTATGACTTAAGAGGTTGTTGCCAGATAATACTTTCAGGCCAGATAAACTAGTGCACGGTGATGGTCAGTGCCTCATTCTCCTTATATTTTGCTTCCACATTGACCCATATCCGCATTGAGGTATGTTGCTTAACAATTTTCTTTGTGCTATGCATCTATAAGATCCATGGTGACTGTTTGCGTAATTACCTTTCCCTCCGAACCCCTTTCCCAGTTCAGTCACATTTTTTGTCACTATTCTACTTCACTAGCCTTTTCTCTGGTAATTTCTTTCTCTCTCTGTAAATACCTCTAGAGAAAAAGGGATATTGAGATACTTTTTGCTTGTGACTTGAAAAGGATACCTCTCTCATATGTTAATTCCACATTTAAGTGTGTTAAAATAGACTATTGTGACTTGAAGGGCTTCCTTAGGGGATATTTCTCTTCTTGGATATAAAGAGTCTGTTATCAATCTGGACAATATCTTTTCTCTTAACCTTGATAAGCCACCTTAATGGTCGTTGTTTGGCTTGTCTTGCCGAAGTAAAGGCTTATATCTCTCTAGGTCCAGATGTTAAAATAGACTGATAACAGCTTGTTGCTTATTATTATTGCCCCTTTAGCTGACTCAATAAAAATAAATTGTTCATTACAGACATTGAGGTGGTACGTCAAGCTTTCAGGAACATAGGCCATTCATTTCTGAGAAGCGATACTCTGTGTTGTCGATTGCATAAAGAAAGTATTCCACAAGATGGTATCTTTCTGGTTTTTACCGTGGCTGTGCTACAAAATCTATAATTCTCATTTACATTCACCAGGCTTTGAGATTGATTCACCGGTTTCTGACTCTTTTCCCTCCTGACCCCACCCAACACTATGGTGTCTATAAAAATCCCCATACAAAATAAAGTGAGAAGTTAGCTTGAATGGATAGGTATACCGTTTCTTCTTAGATTGTTTGGTACTCTGTATTTGTCTCTTGTAGTTTGTACATCAACAGGCAAATTGATGGTCCGCCCCGCTCCATGATCTTTCTGCAACTAAAAGTGGCTGAAGGGAAGGAAATTATTAATAACTGACAGTGATAGTGGCGACAAAAGGCGTACTTTTGGGCCGGACTTAGCATTTTTTTTATTGGATGGCTCTGAATAAATATATATTTAGCAGAATTCTGATTTGGGCTGTATCTTATTTGTACATACAAGCAGGATCGCTCTATATCTAGTCTGTATTTAATTATTTTCTTCCCGCAAGGATTGCTTATTAAACACAGTTTATTTCAACCTTTTTTTTTACAATGTCTTTTTATGGTTCTTATTTGGCATTGAAGCTGCAACAGCTTACTTATGATTGGAAATAATATTACACGTGTTAAATAAAATTAACCAATTTCCCCTTAAAAACTATTAAGGTCTTTTTTTAACAAAAAAGGGGAGAAAGGAAGGACCTTTATCCTAAATCCTTACTCAGCTCTAGTAGTTGAGCTGTCGAATCAGGGGAAGCTCTGTTTTATGTTAACATGGTTCAAGGCCAGACAAAGAAAAAAGAGCATGATGCTTGATTAAGATAATACAATGTCTAATCAACTTATCCTATTAAGAGGTTTATTAATTGTTTTAAAGGAAGGCAAATTAATGCTATGTTAATTAGAGTTAAGGTGGCAAAATTTAAGTCTGATATTGTTAATTATGTCTGTCCCTTAAAAAGAAGAAACACCAAAGCTTTTTAGTGGCTAACAACAATGAACCTGATGTTGAAAAAATCTTCTTCTCTTTCTTATCCCCACTTGCCAGTTAAAAGTGTATTAATTAAAGGAGATTGAACCCATAATTTGACAACTCATTAAGTAAGAAAAGGGGATCCTATGACCTTCATCTCTAATAGGTCCATGTAGGAAATGAATAGCGACCTTTTATTCACTTTCCTTTTAATCCAATTCTCTTTCTCCTCTATTATTTATTACAACGATTTTTAGATTTTTCGTATAGGCAATAAAATACACCCATTTGTTATGCCCTAAAGTTTTAAACAATCCTTTTAAACACATGATTCCAGAGAACATTTCTGATCTGGGTTAGCTTTTAAACTAAAAGATACAACCAAAAAAAAAAAAAAAGGAAAGAAGATACTGTATTATTTGCAAAGAAATAATGAATTCCCACTTTCCTTTTTTTTTTTTTTTTTCCTCTCTTTGTTTATTTGTGGTGCTTAAATATTACAAAAAAATATATTTTTGCATTAGTACTATCCCATCCCAATATATAATTAGAGGGACATGGAGTACAGGGAGAATTGAGCAGCAAAAAGCGACTTTCCCTTTCAATCGAGTTACCATCAATAAGCTGGTCGGTTCAAAAAGCTCAATAAGAGCACCAAAAGATCTTAGGAGTGCAATACCTTCATCATTCATTGGAAAATGCAAGTTGCGCCTACTCATAAATATCAAGAAAAGAATAATAAAACAAAAATAAAAGTGGAAAAAAAAAAAAAAAAAAGGACCAAAACTAGTTGATGCTTATTCCCCTCTTCCTTCTTTATTTTCTCATACTTCTTATTAAGGGTTTTAAACCAAATTCTCTAACAATAACCACCACTTGGTTGCAAACTCATTAACAAAGATTACCCTACTGGCAACAGGCAGTGGAGGGTCTCTTAACAAACTGTCTTTCTTGAATATGAAGGCTTATTACTTGTTTCAAATTATATATGCCCTCTTTCACTAGCATTTTTTCTCTGCAGTTTCTACTCTCTCTACTTCCTCACTCAAATTTTATGATTATTATAATTTTTTTCTTGGAAAACAGCAGTGTTTGTTTTCAGATGGGGACACGGATAATTAGTTTCTTTCTAATCTTTTTTTGACATTCTGCCACCAGGAATAATAATTGCAATGATTGTGAGTGCCTTTTTTGTTTTTTTATAATCTTTTCAATTAGTAAAAGCGAAGCATCTTCATCCTGTATAGGAAAGCCTAAAAGTTACCCTTCAAAAGTTTGCAGTTATATTGTTTATTGTAGAACTTGCAATTTCTTATTCTTCTGGGGCCACTGCTTGAGTTATCTTTCTTTTCTGTTTTTTTTTTTTTTCGGTCTATTTTATCATGAGAAAGCTTTTGGATTTAAAAAAAAAAAAAAAACATTGAGAATCTTCAAAGATAAAATAAAAACTGCAGTGTTAAAATTTCCTTGATCTTCTATTGTTTAAAGTCAATACTCAATTGGACCTCCATAATTAATTAAATAATAATTTATCCCCATATCAACGAAATAAAAAAAAAAGGAGCTTGAGAGGTCACCAATGATGCACACTGTTTAAAGTTGCAAAGATTATGGAAGGCAATCTTCACGTTGAATTTCCAATTGCTATGGCAGCCCTCAGAACAATCAGAGAAAAAAGGTTAAATCATAGTTATACAATACACAAACTACAATAAACATATTTTGCATTATTAGTTTTCTTTTAGTGTTCTAATTTGTAAATGCCATTATCATACTAACTTAAATTCTTTAATATTATGTGCCATATGCATATAAAGTATTCCCCAGTTACAATAAAGTATTCCTTAAATTTTAAAAAAATGAAACATTAATTTAAAGTGTAAGCTAGGCACTTAGACAATTCTTTAGCCTCTGCTCCTTCTGGTACCTTGCTTGGATGTAGCTCAATATAAGAAAACCCTTTATGGCTTTAGTTAGGTTAAAGAATATTTAACTTTTACCTAACTTAGGATCTCAACTTTACCTACTGGATACAAACATCCAATAAAACCATATGTCCAAAAAAA